GGCAGGGCCCTGTGACCCCCCGCCAGCCTGCCGGTCCCCCAGGCATGGAGGGCTGCGGGAACCCCTGCACCCTGGGGTGACACGAGCGGCCCTGCCCGCTGGTGCTGGCTCCCCTGCATTCCCCAGAGCGATGGGGACCCTCTGCCCCAAGAACCACCGGCTGGCCAGCGGTCAGCCCCAGCAGAGCTCGAGAGGCATTCTGGCGTTTCTGAGGGGCCTGCGGCGCTGCCAGCAGCCCTGACGCATCCACACCACACACATCGCTGTCACAGCTGCCATGGCAATAGCCTACGTGCCGGTGCCCGTGAGGGACCGCCGGCGTGGGCGCACACCTGTGCTCGCTCGGGTCCCCGTCCCACCTCACGCCTCCACCCGTCCACGGCCCCACAGCAGCCCTGGCCCCCTCTGGTGCCACAGAGTTCAGCACTGGCACAGGGGTCCCTCCCCAGCACCCCACACCCTGGCACTGCATCATGCCTGGTTCTGGAGCCATGGCCAAGGCCACCAGGATGGTGTTCTGCTGGGGTACGTGGGAAACAAAACCTGGGCTCAACTCAGTTTCCATCTTGGCCAAATATGATGCACAAAGGCAGGGTTGTGCCAGCAGCTGCTGATGCTCTGTCTCCGCCGGAGCCTCCAGCATACAACCAGCCCTTTTTGGAGCTGGGATTTTCCACAGTATCCCCAGGCAGAGTGACATGCTGCAGTGTCCTGGTACACTCACAGCGGTTCCCGTTTCTACTGCAGACACTCAGAGCGGCAGCATGTGGCACGGCCGGCCCGGAGCCACAGGAAAAACCTGCTCTGGAAGAGCTGTCCTGAGGAAGCAGTGTCTGGGGCCTAGGGAGCGCCAGCCCCTCCTGTGGGGTTCTGTGACTGGGGGCACCACGCTCCATAGGGACCACGAGGTGCCAAACTGGGGAGGGGATGTCAGGCTGGGGGAGGGTTTGTCAACACCAGAATCAAGCGCCAAAAGGGTCCAGCAGTGACATCCACTCCGTTGCCAAGAGCATCCCCGGGCACTGCTCCCTGCGAGGAGCACGGGTGTCCCACCATGACCGTTTGCCATCCAGCTCCAGGGACCACGACAGACGCAGTGGCCCCTCCGGCACACCGCAGTGCTTGGACCCCGCGCTCCCGCTCGCCTCCAGCTCCCCTTCCTCGGAAGCCCCACGGCCCCAGTGCCACCAGCACCCGGGGCAGGACGTAGGACAGCTCTCTAAGGCACAAGTGGGTCCTCCCTCAGTCCCTCAAGCAGCTGAGGGGAGAGTGGCCCCCCGAGGCACCTGCACGCACCCAGGCACCGCACAGACCCTGAGCGGTGAGGGGCACCCTGAGCAAGCTGATGGGCAGCTCTGAAGGCCCTGGGCTGGTCTGGCTCCACTGCAGCTCCCGGAGGTGACAAGGGCAGGGCACTGCCCGGCACGCCGGCCTGGCGGTGCCCAACCAAACAAACCACGTGAGGCAGAGGCCGGCTCCAGGATGAGGTAATCTGCCCGTCCTCCCCCGCGCCACAGCCTGGCTCTGGCCAGGGTGACTCAAAGGCATTCCTGGTCTGTGGCAGCACCACGAGTGCTGGCACTGCCCTGAGCCAGCAGCAAAATGGGCCCAGCTCTGGGAACTGAGGAGTGTGGGATGTTGGGAGTCTCCTCTCTCCCTCCTCCAGCCATCGCCAACACCTGCCTGGCTGCAGATGCCCCACAGCAGCCCCACAGGAACTCCAGCATGGCAGGGCAACACCAATCCCATGGCTCCAGTGGGGAACGTGTTCCCAGCCACCAGCGGCCGGTTTCCCTCACCCTGCTGCTCCCAGTGACACTGTGCCACAGCCCCAGCTGACAGCACCAGCGGTGGCACCAGCCCCGAGGAGCCCTGGTCAGGGTTGCCCAGCCCAGCGGAGCCACAGCCCTGGAGGAGACCCTCTGAAACTGAAGCCTCCTGGAATGAAAGTTTATTTATCTGTTTAATTAAGATGTGTTCACCAGGAGCACAGACCCTGTTCCATCTGTCTCACTTACAGCCGCGTCCCAGTAAAATTAAACCTAATAAATATCAGCAGAGGGAAAGCAAAGGGCATGTGTGAGATATACGATCAAAGGCAGAAGCTGCACAGGGCTGCAGTTCTCAGCACATCTCTCTCTGCCCTTCGGGGCTGGGCTGGCACTGTGCTCCCCCACGCAGGATGGGGCTGCCTTTCCTTCAAATCAGCACAATTCCCAGCTTTTTATTTATTTTAAATGAACCCTTGAGGGCTCCTTCGTTTTGTTTGCTGGGAGAGGGAGAACAACATGGCACTGGGACAGGAGTGGTCTTGGCTACTGTTCTGGTGCTGGAGCCAAGGGGCAGAGCCTGCAGTGGGACAGCTGACATGCACCCCCCCCCAAACCACCACCAAGGGAACCTGCTGGGGACAGTGCAGCACATCCAGCCGCTCCAGGTATCCAGGATGTACCAGCAGCCAGTGCAGTGCTGGCAGCTCCCAGGGAACAGCTTGGCTCCCCTCTGAGGCACACTCCACCATTTGGACCCTTCATCTGCCAGGAACGAGGCCCCAAGGTCTGCCGGGAGCCCCGGCCCCCTCAGGCCCCCCGAGCAGGTGGTGCCACAGGCTGCTGGCATGGCATGGCTGTGGCACATCCAGGTGCCCAGGGTCCTGCACACACTGCACTAAGCCCTGAGCGCACGTCAGAGCTGCTGCCCTCCCAGGTCTGCCCCAACGCTATGTCCAGATCCTGACCCACGGGATGCAATGGGAAATCCAGCCCCTGGTACTGCACTCCTCACCAGGACCCATCCCTCATCCTCTCCCAGAGAGGGATGACACAGTGCCCATGGACCTGCTGTGGGGGCACAGCCACGGGTGGGCTGGTGCCGCGCAGGCTCCCAGTGTCTAGTGCTTACAGGACCCCCATGGCCCCCCGCAGCACGCATCCACGGGGCAAAGCTGGATGCTGATGCTTGGGAGAGCTGCTAAAAGAGGGCTGCAGGTCAGGTGAGGTGCAGCCACTGCCACAAGGGCTGGTGAAGTCAGACTAGTGAGGTCAGACCGCGAGGTCAGGTGCTCCGGCCTCCCCGGGGTCATCCTGCGAGTGCAGTGCCGGTGGCCCGGCAGCACCCAGGGAACACAGCACCCGCCTAATCCTCTTCTCCCACCCGCTCCAGAATGCCTCCAAGCCAAGGCATTCATTAATTAAAAGCTCATTAGTAGTTAGTCATAGACATAAAGCGATTAGATGAAGGTGCTGACGGATCTGAGCCGCCGTGCTGCGAGGGGAGGGTCCCACGTCCCCAGTGCCTTGGCTGCAGGGACTGCCCCAGTGCAGGGCACAGACCAGGACAGTGATAAGGGACCAACAAGCCTCCTCTGCACCCTGTTAAACCTCCTCTCCATCTTTCCCCGCTCCTTCCTCCTACTCCAGCAGCTCTCAGGGGTCACTGGAGACCCCGCCTGCTCTGTATTCCCAAAGGTGAAGCACCCAGGCATGATCTCACCAGGTGAGGAGGGGACTGTTACCACGACATGGCCACTATCTGAGACAGCAGCTGTGGCAGTGGGAGGGGAGCAGGAATGCAGGGAAAGCATGTGGAAGTTTAATGGGATCCAGGGAAAAAATCCACCTCACCGAGAAGTTCCTGGCCCATGGTGGGGGACAGGACGGGGCCTTGGGCACCTTCAACCTCTGTCGAGAGCTGCCAGCACCATGCAGAGCAGGAGAGTGGCTGGGCTACCATCTGGGGATGTCCTATGGCCCCCCGTGTCACCCCTCCCTCCTTTGCCCTTCAGCCACCCAGGCAGGGAGAGGACCCTCAGTGCTCTCTACAAAACAGTGCCCTGGTTGCAGCCATCCTATGTCCCCCATCATCTGGCACGAGCAATCAGTGCACAGGGACCTCACTCTGCCTGGCTCCTCGCCTCCACCCGCACGACCCTTCCAGAAGCCCTTTCACTTGACAAAATATTTACATGAAATGGCAATTAGGCTCCCTGAATTTAATGAGAATTAACATGCAGCAGCAGCACCGTGGCAGAGCAGCTGCTGCTGAGCACCTCGAGCTCGTGGGCCAGGTGGGCAGTGTGGGGGGGCCATGGCAGGGGAAACGGC